AGGAGCTGCAGATCGAAAACCTAGGTTTTAGGGAGAGAGGGTTTAGATTTTCAATACTATTTTCCGAAAATACGACCAAAATTTCCCCTTATTACTGGTGAGTATATAATGTTATCAATAAATTTAATAATTGTTGATGTCCTTCCATTCTTCCATCTTTTGATTTGATGTCTTGTTCTCTTTAAGATTGATTCTATCTTAATAAGAATAAATAACAATGTGTAAATAAAAATTAACTCGATATTTTCAAAGATTTCATTGCTTCGGATCTTCTTTTGTTAGAAATAAATTACGCGGCATGGAACTAATATTCATATAGTCAAGTTTAACGTATTAAAAATGATATTGACTTATCATTCTCATCCCCGGATCATTTTAAAGAATTTAACAAGATTTTGGATTTAAGTCGTCTTTGATTTTAATTTAAGATCGATTATACAAATTATTTTGGAAAAAAGCATATGTACAGAACCCTTTTTGCCAGAAAGCTACCAGATACTCACATGGGGTGGCTCCCCTTGTGAGTAAAATATTGCAAAAAAAAATGCGGGCCCATGTATGTGTGTATCCGGCAATGTTCTGACAAATTCTTTTTTGTAAGTCTAGCATTATTTTTCACCACTCAGGCTGACTCATGGCTAGAAAGGTCGTTAAGTTGAAACACGATATGACCAAAACTTACAAGTGGGAAGAAATGACCCATATATGAAAATAAATACAAACTATAATCAACCATTACAAACAATACAATAAACTCGCACAAATAAAATAAAAAAAGGAAAAAAAAATAAATAATAACATTATTCAAACTGCAGAAGAAGATTTTGCATCGAACAGTTGACTCCCTCCTAATTTTCCAAATCCTCCTCCTCATCATTCTCAGCTGCAGCATCCTGATATTGCTGATATTCTGAAACCAAATCATTCATATTACTTTCAGCCTCAGTAAATTCCATTTCATCCATTCCTTCCCCAGTGTACCAATGCAAGAAAGCCTTGCGCCTAAACATGACAGTAAACTGCTCGGAAACGCGCCTAAACATCTCTTGTATTGATGTAGAATTCCCAACAAATGTAGATGACATAGACAGCCCGGTTGGTGGAATGTCACAAACGCTCGACTTAACATTGTTTGGTATCCACTCAACGAAGTAAGAGGAGTTCTTGTTTTGTACATTGATCATTTGCTCATCAACCTCTTTCGTGCTCATTTTTCCACGGAACATGGCCGAGGCAGTTAGGTACCGGCCATGTCTTGGATCAGCAGCACACATCATGTTCTTGGCATCCCACATTTGTTGAGTGAGTTCCGGGATGGTGAGGGCTCGGTATTGCTGTGATCCATGAGAAGTCAAGGGTGCAAAACCGACCATAAAGAAGTGTAGACGGGGGAATGGGATTAGGTTTACAGCCAATTTTCTGAGGTCGGAGTTCAGTTGGCCGGGGAAGCGAAGACAGCATGTTACCCCACTCATAGTTGTTGAAATCAAATTATTCAGATCACCAACTGCAACCATAGACATTTCAATTTGTCACAAGTCTCATAACTAACATAATTGGCATATATGCTGCACTCGACGAGACTGGACAAGACTAAACATGACTACTAATTGTAACTTACAGCTTGGATTTGTGAGCTTAAGTGTGCGAAAGCAAATGTCATACAGAGCTTCATTGTCGAGAACCATACACTCGTCAGCATTTTCAACGAGTTGGTGAACCGAGAGAGTGGCATTGTAGGGTTCGACCACTGTATCGGAAACCTTGGGAGATGGGAACACCGAGAAAGTCATCATCATCCTATCAGGGTACTCTTCCCTGATCTTGGATATGAGCAGTGTCCCCATCCCGGAACCGGTTCCACCTCCAAGGGAATGACAAATTTGAAATCCTGTCACACAAAGTAAAAGTCTGATCACTATATAAAATGAAATCCAATGGATAAAATTTTTGCCGGGTTTTTTTCCTTTGATACTGTCACGTCCACCTTACTAAACAAACTAAAAGTGAAGATCTTGGAACAATGTCAAGAAAATTTACACTACCAGTGCACCTCTACATACTGACCAAATAAGCGAGCTTTTAAGCCGGGACAACCGTGTTCGTACCTTGTAAGCAATCACAGTTCTCTGCTTCTTTGCGAACAACATCTAGAACAGAATCAATCAACTCAGCTCCTTCAGTGTAATGCCCTTTAGCCCAATTATTTCCAGCTCCATTTTGCCCAAAAACAAAATTATCAGGCCTAAAAATTTGCCCATATGGACCAGTTCTCAAACTGTCCATGGTTCCAGGTTCAAGATCCATAAGCACAGCCCTAGGAACATACCTCCCACCACTTGCTTCATTGTAATAAACATTAAGCCTCTCAAGTTGAACCCTAGAGTTTCCCACATAATTACCAGTAGGACTGATTCCATGTTCATCACACACAACTTCCCAAAACTTCCCTCCAATTTGGTTGCCACATTGCCCAGCTTGAATGTGAAGAATTTCTCTCATTTTCTTGAATCAAAGTTTAAGGAAATGGAATTTCAAGAATTTGGAATTAAAGAGCAATGAGTGGAGGGGGAGAGCTTGGAGGAGTAACTTAAAACAGGGTTTTTGTAGTGAAGATTGGATGGGTATTATGGGATTAAGTCATCGATATTTTTTGAGCTTTTAGAGCATGTTCTGTTCGTAATACTCGACACTTAAGATTTTAATTTCTTTTTCGTCATTAATACGTTCTCAAATAATTGCACCAAATTTACAAGATAATAATAATAATAATAATAATAATAATAATAATAATAATGCAATCACTAATTTTCATGTGGGCGTGGATTTGCAGAAAATGTCTAAGGCCCTATTTGATAGTCTAGAAAATGGGTGGAAAAAGAAAATGTTTTTCAACTTTAGCCAATTAAGGATGTTTAATAGTACAAATTTGCCTGGCTTTTGTTTTTCTCACATTTTTTTAGGTACAATATTTTGATGCACATTTGCTTGATTTTGTTTTCCCACCTAAACAATTTCCACCTTTTTTTTGTTTTGCCTTTTTTTTTTTTTTAGTAATGACAACACATTCTATCATCCTTTGTAAAAAGAATTTTCATTTTCGTTGACAAATTCTATGCAAAACAAAGTCAAACGAATGTTATTCGGTTTGGTAATTGGAACAAATTCTAGACGCAATGGTAGAAAAAATTATCACTTTAATGGACAATTTTCATAAAAAAACGAAACCAAACGGACACCAAACTTTCAACATTTTCCACATGGAAAATTATACCAATCAAACACAATTAATTACAATTCTCAGTAAAACAAATTCTAGACAATTCAATTCCCAATAAAACATTTTCTTTCCACCAATTTTCCACATTTGCAATCAAACGATCCTAAGATCAAATAGGAATTGTGAGCTGGAAATGGAAGGAGACAAGACAACCAGTTCCATGCACTCTCACGTGGCTTCATATTCGTATTACAATTCTATCCTTGGCAATATTTAATGTTCTGTATGTTTACTCATTAAGAAAAATCAAGCCATCCTGATTTTTACCATATTCTTGATATTTAATTTGAGGTTTAAAGGAACTTGTTGAGGTAAGTTGGAGAGAAAAGAAAGAACAAAAAAAAAGATAAAAGAATAAATAAGTCAGTTTAATAATTTTCTTTAGAGCGGCCTTTTTGATATTTTAAATATATTATCATGCCTCGTCTTCTTTGTCACCTTCTATCCTCCACATTGCAGCCTCACTTCGCTAGAGTTGTGTCTTGCCACAAATCAGAAGTCTTACAAAGTATTGATTTAGGTAGTCGAAAGATTTTTGAAAGACTCTCAAGTGGCCGGGGGACGAAGAGAGAAGAAAACGGGGATGCAACAAAGAAGATAGTAAATGGTGAGGAAGAAGATAACTTGATAAAATTAAAATTTATTTTTAAATAATTAAGTGACACTTAATTAAGTAAATACTAAATTGTTTAGTAAAATTTATATATAACATATATATATTGTAATTTATATAGTACGGTATATTTCAAAAACTATATATTCTAAATTTATTATTAAATGATTAATTGAGTAATAATTAATTGCACATTGGCTATTAAATTTAAACATAAAATTCGAGACAAATTTTTCATTATTTCATTACTTCCAGAATATCATAATGCCCTTTTTAATAATTATTACCTATTTTATCAAATAATATAAACACATATACTACTTAACAAGTAAAAAGTTTTAAGCTTAGTCATATAATATCAACGTAAATTATTTTTTATTTGGTAATACAAAGCAAATTATTTTTGTTTTCTTATGCAGTTTATGGAGAAAAATCTTGTTTTAAAGGTAAAGTTAGGTGCCAATTGGAGTGATATGACATCTTATTGTAAGAGAGGGTGAGAGAGGTTGCAGGGTTCAATTATTGAAGCCAATTGTCTCCTCATTCCAGCTCTCATAAAAGGGATGGTTGGCAATGTGTTTTGGTATTTTTAAGAGAATAATATTTTGTATTTAAATGGTAATTGGTATTGAAGAAAATAAAACCACTCGATTTAGATTAATATAGAGAACGAGGACGATTTAGATTAATATAGAGAATGAGGACGAGAGCGAGTGCAAAAAAGAAAGAAGAATAGCTTGCAGGGATCAGAATTTGGATTTATGTCGACTTTATTTGAACGAGTGTATGATCGAGTACAAATATAAAATAAAGATATATTTGTATAAGTTCGGGGACGCCCAACATTTTACCCTTTGCTTATATTTTTTTTTTGTACATTTCATTTCATTCCTTTTCTTTTTACTTTCTAGTTTTTACCCTTCCCCTTTTCTTTTACTCTCCTATCTCTCTCTCAAGTGATCAAAAAGTGAAAAAATTATTGCTTGGGCATTTAGAAAAGAATAGAGAATAAGACAGGATTACTATGTAAGGATCATGATTCTACAGTTTGTTGCTTTTAAAGCACTATTTCCAAAATCATATTTTATGCCAATTATTGCACTGATGTTTTAGACTTAACCCCTGTTTGGTACAACTTATAATCTAATTATAATCTCAAGTCAAAAGTCAACAATTAATTTTAACTACACATTTCATGAGACTCACAACTTTTCAACCACATATTCCATCAACTTTTATCAAAATCTACTAAAAATCTGATTTTAATCTACAACAAACATGGGCTAACAAAAGTCTAGCACGAGTTGTGTTTGAATATTCACAAGAAGTTTAATTTGACTATCAGATTACAACAATTAGCTGCCACGATGAGTCCCAATTGTCGCTAAAATGACCAACTCAAACCACAAAAGACTGATCTAAGGTCATAATATAATCCAGTAGTACATAATAAGCCACCCATGCCTTGGTGTGGAAGCTCAACTCTGCTCAAACTAAGGACCAAGTCAGCATAGCATCTAACATAACGAAGTGTGATGCATACCAGCATAGCAGAATCCATAACTGGTCCCGCGAGATTGTGCAGTCACCCACTGGAACCAAAAACCAGCAAGTTGATGCAGCAAAACCAGAAATTTAGGCAAGTCCTTACAGCAGTACGAGTCCCTAGTAATCCAGAAATATCGGGTATCCCTCTCTCCAGGTAAACTGAATTCAATAAATAATTGCTGAAACTTTTATCATATTACCAACACAATATGCTAAGTTCACCGTCAAAGTCTAATTGACCACCGCATCTCTCCTTTTTCTGAGTGGCCGAGATCACTTACCAATACAGACATCTGTCCTGAATTAACAACCTTCACCCTAATGATTTGCATCCT